TGCACACATACACACAATTTCTCATTCTCTGATAAATGAGTCCCAGACCCAGGCAGGCAGAGAGATAAATGGACTGGAGTGTTCACAACCAGGAAATCAACTCAGCTGCCATTTACAGCAGTGCTGTGTCATACAGGGTGTGTCCCTGTAAAGATTCTATACATAGAATGTAATCCCAGGTAAACAAAAACAAATGCCTGACAAGATGAAAAAGACACCTCTGGGAACACAGAACTATCTCATTCTGCATAGCCAGGAGCAAACAGCAGATTCCCCTCCTTAGGAGTGGGTCAGTATGCTTCAGAGCTGAGTGGTCTGGGAGTTGGAGAAAGTGGAATCAGCCCTGACCTGGTGCTATGATAACAGAGTCAGAGGTTTGAAGTTCTAATTCTGGATGGGTAGGTGATTCATCGAGCATCTGGAGGCATATCCCTTGAGCTTGGCGGTCCTTCTCTTCCTAGGTTAGGGACCAGGACTCCTGTTTCTCTCCTGAGGGCAGTAAAAGAATATAGACAGCAGCAGGAAATGAATCACACCAGAAAAGGGGCAGGCCAACCAACAAGTGCCCTCAACCAACTTTTCCACTTTGCTACTCTCAAATTCTGAAGGCTCCCTTGGACCTGTATCATCCTGCCCATATCATGGCAGCCCCAGAATCTCACAAGTTTTCTTTCTTCTCCCTACCTGCCTGTAAATTCCTATGGGGTAGTGGAAAGAGAAGGAGCTTTGGAATTTGACTTCTATTTGAATCTCAGTTCTACCATTCATCATGACTGTGTATAAGTTATTCCAACTTTCTGAGTCTCTGTTTTTCCATCTGTAAAATGGAGACAATAATATCTACCTTTCAAGACTCTTGAAAGTTATATGGGATATTTTATGTAAAATGCCTATTACAGTGCCAGGCCCATTACAGACAATCAATATGTATGAATCTTCTCTTCTTGCCTCCCTTCTTCACCTGCCTCCCCGGTGGGGAGGTAGTCACATAGCTGTACCAATCAAGTAAGCACATACAACTGAAAATAACAAACCAAAACTAAAAACCTATTATCAAAATATTTATAATATTTGTGGATCTAAGTATATGTAGTCCTGTGTATGAAGAGGGAGTGGAAGTAATCATAAAGTTAATGTGGGTTTTAAAACTCTTCATACATCAACTAGGTGTGATTTGACAGCCTAAGTATTATACCTGCTAGGAGGTCTCTGAATTTTACAACCATGTTGAGGAAGGGATATTTAAACAAGATGGATCAAAGAGCATAATGCTGTGAACTAAGGTATAAAAACAGAATGCTAGATAGTGACATATTAATTAGTTAATTAACTTCTGTCCCTAAACTTTTCAACTTCTTCTAGCTGGTTCTATTAATGCCATCTATCTGCTGGCTAAATTATCACCCAGTTCCAGAACCAACCTTGACAGAGGCAGCAAGGAGATCAATAGTCTCAGCTCCCCTCTCCCCATTCTTCCTACCATATTCCCCAATTTGAGAAGACATAACCTTGCTCCATTTTCACAAGGTTTGTCCAGCTACTCATGCTTAACATCCAAGCACTGTCAAATCTGGAGTACTATCCTGAATGCTTCACAGATGGAGAGGGCCTTATTGTCCTCTCTGCCTAAGTCGACCCTTTTCATGAGATTAGAACCTTTGCTCTAGACTCTGGTTACTGAGGTCCTGCTACAAATGGAAACACCACTCTAGCTAAATATCCTTGCTGCCTAGTGCCTGAATAACGGCCATCACCGAATCCTCACTCTACTTCATTTCCACCCACACACCCCTGGACCTCTCGCCCCTGTGTTCTGCCCACCACACTAAACACCCAAGCTGCAGTTTCTTGCCTACATTTGACTCTATAACTGAACTGTCCACCTTTACCTAGAGTCTACCACTACAACCTGGTTAGTTTATCTCCAATCACTCACTCAGACAACTGACCCTAAAGCTAATGAGAGATAAGAGAAAAAAGTCACCAATGGATACGGGCCAAAGGGAGATCTCTCATGGTCATAGACAGAGCAGCTGTAGGGCAGTAGCAGAGTCAGAGAGTGGGGTGGTTCAGGGAATAAACAGAAGGTGAGGATGGTGAGAAAAGGTGTTTAGGTGGCTTTCCAAGATGTTGAACTACGAATGAGAGGACTAAGAAGAGGAGTTCAGGGAGGGCTGATATAGCTGATTTGTTTGGAAAAGTTAGGGCTCCAGCAAGATGAGGAAGGGAACTAGGAACATCCCAACATGCAGTAAACTTCCATTCTCAAAACAAAACAAGGCACACTTTGGGGTGGAAAGGTATGTTCTAAGCCTGAATATATTATAAAGCCTAACATACACATAAATACACACACACTCACACACAATGACACTGAAAAACAGAAAGATTAATAGAACACATAAATATCCCAGAAATAAAATGCATATTTGGGAATTTAATATAAAGAAGTCAGCATGAAACAAAATAAGCAGGTTCTCAAACCTGGCTGTACATCAGAATCTCTTGGGGAGATTTTTTTAAAAATACCAATGCTGGGGCCACTCCCCACCCTGAAGGACATGATGATTATGAATCCCATAGGTTATGATTTCACCTATAAGCACTGAAAAAAGGAAATGCTTCCCAGAAGACACTAAACTCTAGCTGTGATTGAGGACTACTGAGACTGATGATGCATTATATGATTACGCATAACATGCACATTATGGGTTACTCATGTGGCAAAAATAATTTAGATCCTTGCTTCATCCCTAAGCAAAAATAAATTTTAGTTAGAAAAATGACTATATATTTTAAGAAACATAAAAAATAACTATAAATTATGTTGGTAGGGTGAGGACATGCTAAGTTTAAAAGAAAAGATTCCTTCTAGTAGAAAAGAAATCACCAAGAAAAAAAGCATCCAATCAATCATGAATAAAAACATAGACATTTTATAGTAATAAATAAGAAAATTACTAAGATGTCAATAAATAAATGGTACTAGAAAGTGAAAAACAAAAGAAAACCAATTCACCAAACCAAATGTTTAACAAATATGGAAGGAGGATGAAGTAAGATTACAGATGTTCAACTTAACTAGTAATTACATAATACGCATTAAAATAAAAACAAAGTGCAATTTTTTTGCCTAACCATTTAAGAAAAAAAAATGAAAGAAAGAATTTTGATGCTTTGAAGAGAGCTATTTTTAAAAAGCCCACTCTTACACATTTACAGTGAATCCAAATTTCTATATTTATGGAAAAAATTTGGCAATCTGTAAATAAAGAGCCTTAATAATATTCATAATTTTGACTTAGTAATTTCTCTCCCAGAGTCAATTATAAGAGGATTTTTTTAACATAGAAAATGTTTCTGAAAACACAAAAAAATCTTATTGTACTGTTATTAATTTCTCTTGAAAGCAGAAATAGGTATTTGCTTCAAAATAATCCCAGGACCTGGAGAAGGAGAAATGGGTGGAGATATAAATGAAACAAGATTGCCCATGTGTTGAAAATTGTTGAATTTGGGTGATTAATAAGTGGGTAGTCATCCTACCATTGTACTTAATTTTTCTGCTTTTGTAAATATTTGAAATTTTCTGCAATAACAAAATTAAAAATATGAGGCTGGCCCTGTGGCCAAGTGGTTAATGTTCCACACAGTCTACTTTGGCGGCCCATGTTCACGGGTTCAGATCCTGGGCGTGGACCTACTCTACTCATCAGCCATGCTGTGAAGACATCCCATGCACAAAACATAGAGGAGGATTGGCACAGATTTTAGCTCAGGGTGAATCTTCCTCACACACACACACACACACAAATTAAAAATAGAAATAAACTTAAATTTTCATCAAGAAGAGTGTGATGATTAATTTTATGTGTCAACTCAGCTAGGCCAAGGTACAAAGATATTTGGTCTAACATTATTCTACACGTTTCTGTGAAGGAATTTTTCAAAAGAGATTAACATTTAAGTCAGTGGACTTTGAATAAAGCTGATTACCCTCCATAATGTGGGTGTGCCTCAGCCAATCACTTGATCTTAATAGACAAAGACTGCCCTTCCAGACGGAAGAGGGAATTCTGCCAGCAGACTGCCTTTGGACTCAAAATACAACTCTTCCCTGGGTCTCCAGCCTGCTGGTCTCCCCTGAAGATTTTGGACTTGCCAAGTATCCACAGAGTCCTTAACATAAATCTCAATAGATATAGATACATAGATACACATACACACACACATACCTTGTTGGATCTATTTCTCTGGAGAACTCTGACGAATACAGAGGAATACTATAAATATATTAATTTTATGTTCACGAAAATTTTTAATAAATGGAGAATTTTTTTGTTAGTAGATTAAGTGATAAAAGCAGATATATCAAGATAGATAGAATGATAGATCGATAGATATGAAGAGCACAATTGTATTGGTTAGGGGAAAGCACTTGTGCAGGGAAACCCCAAAGAGAAGTACATCAGAATGTTACAGCAACGATGATAACAGTAAGAATAATTTTTTCCTTTACTTTTTGTTTTCCAGATTGTCTGAATTAAGCCTTAATTATTTTAAAACAAGAAAATGGAAAGGAAGAAAGACTTAAGGCAGAAAAATTTGAAAGCAGAGATATTAAAAAGAAAAAAATTGGCTGTGAGTGACAGAAAAGACACAAGGGGAAACAATCTTCTTAAAGAACTAGTGGTCAGAATTAAAAGGAGTAGAATCACTAGACCAAGATTTATGCCTTCAAAGAGGACTCTCTTGGCCTAAAGTGAAGGGGAAGTCCTGGAGTTTAACAAGCTCTTCCTCATTGCTTGCTAAAGGCCTTATCTTTCCTACCCGAGAGACAGTCAAGTGGGAACTGCCAAGAACAAACTCAATACATCATCTCCATCAGGCTGTGGAATAGTAGAAAGAAGACAGAGTCAGAGATGCGGGATGGATTTATCTCAGCCTTGTAAGGCCTTGGTTTCCTAGGCCATACAACTGAGATCATCATGATTACTTACCTCAGAGGACTCTAGTGAGAATTAATGAGAATGTAAAGGTGTTCTTCAAAGGCGATAGTTACAGCTTCCTCTTCCAGCAAGGATTCATCTGTGTAACACAATTACTTTCAGACCAAGGGTTCAACTTAGCATTCCTGAAAATTACATTCTACCTGAGGTTCTCAAACTTTGATCACAACTGCCCCACGACAATGGTCTCAGGAGTGTGGCTTTCCTTCAAAGCATTGGCATAAATGTAGATAAAATCCCTTTCCTCTTAACACACATGCAGTTCAATGAAAGTGCCAAAAGACTTGCTAAGTGTTAAGAGAGGATAGTTGGAAAACAAATTCAGTGAGCACAAAATGCAGAATGGTGTGTGTGTGCGAACGTGGATGTGGGTGTGTGAGGTGTATGAGTGTGTATTTTCCTAAGTAGAAGCTTACAGTTCTACTCTAGCTGGCTTCTTATCTTAATATAACCACACTGCAGCCCAACAGCTGGCCCTGCCTCAGCTGTCTGCCTTTGCCTTTACTGCCCTGCTCTGAACTTGTATGCATGAGAAAGGTGCTGTTTTCAGACACTCCTTTCCTTAAGGTCTTCTATACCTTCTACGATCAAAGCCAAAAAGGCATATTCCTAGGTTTCAGCTCACTTTCAGTTTTTATTACAAGTCTTAGAAGCCTAGCCCAACCCGTTTCTGAAATCTAATATACCTGTCTCTGCTACTCATTAACTGTGCGCTCTTGAACAAATCATTTCATCTCTCCTAAACCTGTTTCCTCATCTGTTAAACTAGGCTTACAATATTATCTAACTGCAGGAGTCATTCTAAGAATTAAATTATACTTAGAACAATATCTAGCACATAGTAAACAGTAGCTGTTGCTATTTCTAATATAATTGTAGAAATAAACATATTCCTATAATAATTACTATTATTCTTCTTCTTCAAATTATGACATCTTCAAATGACCTCTCCTTTTGGGTAAGAACTTCATCCTATGCAGCATCAATATTATAACATAATACATAATTAGAGGGGCTGGCCTGGTGGCATAGTGGTTAAGTTCAAGCCCTCCACTTCAGTGGCCCAGGGTCCACAGTTTCGGATCCTGGGCACAGATCTATGCATGGCTCATCACACCATGCTATGGCGGCATCCCACATACAAAATAGAAGAAGATTGCCACAGATGTTAGCTCAGCAACAATCTTCCTCAAGCGAAAAAAAAAGAGGAAGATTGGCAACAGATCAGGGCAATCTTCCTCACATACACAAAAAACCACATAATTAGAATACTCATATTTCCATGTATCACAGAGGAATAAGAGAATTATTTCCTGAGACCTAAGTTTAATGTACCCTACAGTAAATCTTACCTAGGCTTCTACTACCACTGCCTCACTTTTCTTCTACAAAATAGCTGCTTTTTTTCAATCTTAAATTCTCAATTCCCCTGTGCTTTTTTTATAAATTGCTAAATAATTGTTTAATTTAAAATATCATATACTTACAATAAAAGTGAATGTAGCAGATTTTAGACTTCTTTTCCTAGAGTCTTATTCTCAAAACTTAAACCAGTGTGGTTCTCCTTGAGGAGCTTTTTGAAAGTCTCACTGCCCAGGATGCATCAGTTAAGTCAGAATCAGATTCTCTGGGAATGAGAACCACGAACTGGGGTTTGTTTAAAGCTCCCAAGGTTAATTGCAATATGCAGTCAAGTTTGGGAACTCTGCCTTAAATCCTCATTACCTTCCTTTCCTAATTAATACAGGGGAAGTTCACCAGGCTCTAACTTAATAAAGTTCTAAATTGGCAGCCACGTTTTGGTATTCTCTTTCTCTCTTTCCTTGTTTCTACGTCATTTTAGGCAAATTTTATCACTTCCTTGGATTTTAATTCCTAATTTATAACATAATAGATCATAATCCTTGCGCTACCTAACCAGAGACATTCTGACAGGACAAATGAGATAAAACAAATGAAAGGACTTTAATGTTTTAGAATAAAAGTATTCCAGAAATCCAAGGTAGAATTATGTTTTGCCCTCCCTGCCCCCCCCCGCCCCTCCACATGCCCACTGTCATCTCTTCTGAAGCATCCCTGCTTCCCACAGTTAAAGCTTTTCCACAGTAAATGATTTGGGTATCTGTAAAGCTGTTGTTCATGCTTTGGTTTTGCAGAGAATTTCAAGCCAGCTCTACTCATTGCTCTATCATTAGTTGATTATACTTTTTCTCCTCTCATATATCACTACTAATGATTTTTGGGGAGATAAATATTAATGCATCTAAAGAGAGGTGATATGAGATGTACATTGGAGAAAAATCTGAGACACAATGAACTTTATAAAGATTTTATTTTTTTTTCCTTTTTCTCCCCAAAGCCCCCCGGTACATAGTTGTATATTCTTCGTTGTGGGTCCTTCTAGTTGTGGCATGTGGGACGCTGCCTCAGCGTGGTTTGATGAGCAGTGCCATGTCCGCGCCCAGGATTCGAACCAACGAAACACTGGGCCGCCTGCAGCGGAGCACGCGAACTTGACCACTCGGCCACGGGGCCAGCCCCAATGAACTTTAATAATGCTATTTCTGTACCAGCCGGACTCCAGTATTATGAGGCCCTGGCATTAATATTCACTTTGGCTTCAGCTGCCTTCTGCCCTGAAATTCGCCATATTTTCCTCACCTAGATTATTTCTCAACAGAACATTCTAGGAGAAATAAACAGTAAAAGGAAATAATCCTCTCCTAATAAATGCAAAGGAATTACGAGATTTCAGTTACAGCCCTGGGTCAGCAACTCCTTGTGTGTGACCTTAAGCAAGCCAATTCACATCTCTCTTCAGAGGGTTGTGTGTAAAGCATCATGAAATACATAGAGTAAAAATACAAGGCATTATAGTTATTTATTGATATCCAATGGAGAGTATCCAAGAAAGCAAAACTGCGATGAAACCAAGGGATATAAATTATATTTACATAGAAGAGAATTCAGAAGTGTAAAACCAGAGGAAAGGTGGACAATAAAGTTTTTCTCTATCCTTCTAAGTAAGGAATTTAATACCTTATATCATTCCTTCAAAATGGGTATGGAACCCAGTCCTTTAGTAGAATCTCTATTTGCTGTCTGTCAACAGGGTGAGATCTACAGAAAAATCAAGAATTGTAAGTGAACCCCCTACAAAGATGCAGAGAGCAGTTTAAAGCCAAGGGATGTGAACGTTGCTAGAAACACCTGCCACCCTCCTGGCTTCTTGATTTGTCCTGGGAATGAAAATGAAGCAGCGACATGAACTTTAAAGATTTGTTTCATTTTACTTTTGAAATGAAAGAGCAACAAAGATCCCAACAAAGACAGGACAGGTAAACAAAGATCATGAGTTTAATGTCGAAATTCCAGAGGAAAACTCAAAAGTGTTTGCTTAATATTTATGTAAATTGAACAACAAAAATATAGTAAGCACTGTTCATCATCTCTTGCTCTGGTTTCCTCCGCTCTCTGTCTCCTCTCACATATTTTTGGACCTTTTTCCAGGACCCAGGTAAGAAGGTTAAATTTAGGTATTGTATCCATGCTCTCTATTATCGCTGCCTTCTTTTCCACTAAACCCAGTTTGTCTACACAAGCCAGCATGGAGCAGAGGTCAGACAAGAACCCAAGTGAAGCAATCTGCTTTGGACTTCACCCTGCTCTGCTCCTCCTTAACTGACATTTATGCCCAGAACAGTTTCCTTGATACTGGTTTTTGCTTCCCACAACTGCCTACATTGGATTGCATACAGTTAAAGTGACAGACATTTAAACAGCAGTGACCACGTGTTAGGCACTGTTCTAAGCACTGTATATATAGCAAGTTATTCAGTTCTCACAGGTGAAGAAGCTGGAGCACAGAGAGGTTAAGTACAGTAACTTGCTCCAGATCACACCGTTCCTAGGCAGGGATTCAGAACTCCAGTCCAGGTAGTGTGGCTTTAGAATCTGTAGTCTTACATGGTACTATGCTGCCTCCCTAGTAGATTCCTGAAAACAATTTTTTTTTGGAAAATTACAATTACCTTTAATATTGCTTTTGTTTTTTTAATTGAAACATAATTCACATACCATAAAATTCACATTTCCAAAGTGTACAATTTGGTAGGTTTTAGTATATTCACAAAGTTGTGCAGCCATCACCACTATCTAATGTTAGAATATTTTCACCACCCCCCAAAAAAGAAACCTGTACCAACAGCAGTCACTCCTCATTGCCTCTCCCCCCAGCCGCTGGCAATCACTAATCTATTTTCTGTCTTTACGGATTTGCCTATTCTGAACATTTCATAAAAACTGAATCATACAATATGTGGCCTTTTGTGTCTGGCCCCTTTCACTTAGCATAATGTTTTCAAGGTTCATCCATTTTATTAGTCAGAATTCTCCAGAGGAACAGAACCAATAGGATATATAGAGATACATATAAGAGGAGATTTATTACAGGAATTGATTCAAGAGGTTATGGAGGCCAAGAAGTCCCACAATCTGCTGTCAGAAGCTGGAAAACCAAGAAAACCAATGGTATAACTCAGTCTGAGGCTGAAGGCCTGGGAACCGGGGGTGACTGGTATAATTCCCAGAGTCTGAAGGCCAGAGAAGCCAGAGCTCCGATGTCAGAGGGCAGGAAAAGATGGATGCCCCAGCCTCAGAAAAGAGAATTCACCTTTCCTTTGCCTTTTTGTTCTATTCTGGCCCTCAGTGGATTGGATGATGCCCACCCATGCTGGTAAAGAAGTCAGTCTACTGATTCAAATACTAGTCTTTCCAGAAACATTCTCAGTCTACTGATTTACTCAGTCTACTGATTCAAATACTAGTCTTTCCAGAAACATTCTCACAGACACACCCAGAAATAACCTTTTACCAGCTATCTGAGCATCTCTTAGCCCAGTCAAGTTGACACATAAAATTAACCACCATATCCATGTTGTAGCATAAATCAGTACTTCATTCCTTATTGTGGCTGAGTAATATTCCATTGTATGAATATATCTCTTTTTGTTCATCCATTTATCAGTTAATGGACATTTGTATAGTTTCCACTTTTTCACTATTGTTCTGCTACGAACA